TTATGACATTATGACGACGCTCAGAACTGGTGGATTTTTGGATTTGTGATGGTGATGGGTCCTGACGTGAGATTATTTTGGAATTCTGGATGGAAACTCCAATGAAGGTCGATGAATCTCATGACGAAAAATGACTTCATGGCGTGATGAACTAGATTCGAGGGGTCAAATTAAACATGCAGCAGCCGAATATAATTATATACTAAGACTCGAGGAGCAAATTAAATACAGGTTTCTGACAATTGTAAATCTTGTTTTTGTTACTTCTTGTTTGGAAGCTTATGAGCTTTAAACATGCCAGACATTATTATTATTATTTTACATTTCTAAAAACAAAAAGAAAAAAATTGACCTCTTGTAATTATCACAACATTATTATCAGCACACAAGTTTTTTCTTTTAATTAGTTGATTTGATTTCAACTTTCAGAAGAATATCAGGAAAAATCTAGTGCAAACCAAATTTTAAATGTTATCTTCTGCAGAGATATAAAATTGTGTCCTAAGTAGATTCTACTGTTTGGTGTAAACATAGAACTAAATCCAGAATGTGTTATTGTCTCCATATTCCATCCACATTTTCCACAGGCCCAGACAATAGACCTGCTAGCTAGCTACCCACCAAAAAAAGATAAAAAGAACCAAAGTGCAGCCTGGTTTTGCATACTCTTTCATCTGGGTTTAGAATTAACTATTTCCCAACAATAAAACATTTTTCATGGCCAACGGGGTCTAGTTTAGTAAAAAAGGTTATTGACTTGCACACTAGAGGTATCAGGTTTGAACTCCCATGACATCTTGGTTGTGTGTAGAAACTCCTTCCCGGTAGTTTACACTATCACTTATAATAAAAAAAAAATTACATCATTCATCAGTGAATCTGATGCCTAGCAATTTTTTCATGCTTTATCAACTAACCACACAATCATAGGACCCATCATCATTCAATCCATGTGACAATTTGCAGGCTAAAGCAATTCACATATCACAATCCTGTGAGGCCAACTAGGATGAACATTATAAACAGTTGCAATCATTAAATATTAACTAATTGGATGCATATACAAATAACCTATATATATATATATATATATATATATATAGAACCAAAGATGATCACAGTTCTCAATATGAAATGCAAAACATGTATCACCGACAAGCATATGAGAATTTTTAGTATGAAACGCATAACATCTGATTCTCATTAGACCAATTTCCTTGTAAAGCATTCAAGTTACCTTAACCATTCAATCAAGAACAATCAGCTTGCAAATGAGATTGAAAAGAAATAGGAAAATGCCCCCTTCTTAATTTGGCATAGTCAAACATGCTCAATTGAGCAGTATGAGATTTACTAATAGGTGGCATGAGGAACATCTAAACAACTTGCTTCAAACAAACACACATCACATTGATATCAAAATCTAAAATGCACAAACTAAACATACAAATAGACGTGAACAATCCCTCAATGACTAACAAAATAAAGCACAGTTTCCAACATGTTTCCTTTGCTACAGAAGTCTGGCTAAACCAATTTGATTAGCTTGAAAACTTCATAGTACGTTCTGACTCTTAGCATTGAACACAAAACACAGCTCATTGAACTCTAACAATACTTGACATTTATAGTAAGCATATCATGGATGCCTAGACTAATTCTCTTCTGTAACATTTCATGACAACTAAAGACCTTAACCATCCAATCAGCAAAACCCAGCTCGTAGAAAAGATTGATAAACAATAAAGTATCTATAGGGAGCAGAGGAAAATTGCCTCCCCCATTGCATATTGCAAATGAAAGATAAATTGACATTTTTTTGCACACTACATTGTCAATCTCATAGAAGAAACTATGAAAAAAAAAAATAGATGATTGAAGAATAACTAAGCATTATACAAGCTCATAGTTAGGGTTCAAACGAACATACATCACATTGACACTGAAGTCTACGATGCACAAACCAAATGTACATATTACACATAAGTTTTCCATGAAACATTCCCTCAGTTTCAAGAAAAATAAAACAAAGTACCAACAGGTTTCCCTTTTTTACAAAGACTAGTTAAACTAATCACATTAATTGGTGAACTTCAACAGTACCTTCCATTTCCTTCACGTTCTTATTTCTTTCTCTTAGCAGCAATTTTTGGTCCTTCAACAGTTGGCCCTTTTGGGTTAATTAAATGAGAGAGCACGTCCTCCTGAGGAGCAACAACTCCACGTGCTGGTTTTTTTTTCCGAGAACAAGCTCCACGTGCTGTTTGAGATGACAGATTTACTGCAGTTTCAGTAGCTTTTGCCAAATTTGAGACTAAAATCAAATCCTTCAATTTATCAGCCATTTCAGAGAAAGCACGAGTCCCATTCTCATACTACACCAACCAAAGCATGCAAAGAGTCAAATCACCCCACTGCTTCGGGGAAAAATACAAAGGTCTATAATGCAAAGAACATAACAAAATTCTCCTTTATTTTATCATATTTTTACTTACTTTTTTTTTGGATTGCAGAATATATGTAGTTTAGTAAACTACAATTTGTTAATCCTACTTGTATGACGCAAACTTAATAGATTAATATGAAAACTGACAAATCCATAATGGCCGACAAATAGAAAGAAAGCAGGGATGCACACATATAAATTTAAACTGGAAAATAATGTCTATTTGTTATAGATACAAGCTCAAGATAGCAAAGTTAATTGACATACTGCTTCAAGTTTGGCAAGAGCAACTTCCAACTTCAAAGAAAGTTGATGGTTTTCAGTTTCTAACGCCTTAATCTGCATATAAAAGGAAATAATATAAACCTTGCAGATTAGACAGATGAAAAAACATGATAGTACATATATTAATGAGAACAACCTTTTGGGAATCTGCATACAAGCTTTTGTACATTGAAGCTGGGCTTTCGCAGAAGTCAGAGTTTTTATTCCTTGCCTGATTTCACAACCAACCGTAAAAGAAGATAAAAAAAGGCTTCAAATAAGTAATGCAACTGGATAGAACTAACTACACCCAAAAGCTAATTATCTCCCTGGAAGAATGCATTACCTTTGAGTTCATTGTATCCAATAGTTGTACAAGATAGTTAACTTTTTCTTCCAAGCTTTTCTCCCCTGAGGTTGACCCGTGCATTTTATGAGCAGGCTGCTCATCTTCATTTTCACCTTCGCTAACGGTTGCATCTTCAATCACATGCTCCATATTCTGATTTTCAGTAGGCACAATACTATCTTGGATACGTAAAGATCGCCTAACAACAGCACCAGAACACTTTGGCCTTTTCCTAGATGTTTTGGTACCCTGTTCTTCAATTGGAAGCTTTGAGTTAGTTTGCTGTATCATCTCCAAACGTGGAGCTTCAGGAAGCTTTGAATTAGTTTGCTCTATCATCTCCAAACGTGGAGCTTCAGGCTGCGGTTCCACTCTTTCAGATGAGGGATTTGTGCCTTGAGGCTTTGATTTGAACACCATGATCAATAATTAGTAAAATGAATTAAAATGTAGAATTTCAGCCAAAAATGTTCAATCTATTTCACTGTCTACTCCAAATAATAAAAGCCACTTTCATTGAAGGTAACAACATTTCTGATCAAAGCAAAAGCAAACAACAAATGCAACAGCAAATGTATCAAATATAAAGCCACAAAAGCACGCCACATCCACGCATGCAGAAGCAGAAGCAGAAGCTTCACAACGATCAATGATTTATATACACAGCGGATCTTGTAAAATATTACACAAGCTGAGGAAAACAGATTTTATTTTTCAAAACAAGAACTTCAATTAAATACAAGATTTCCATTAACCTTTCACACAGTTGCTAAGTACCTTGACAATGCCTCAGCCAGAGAGCACCAAATTGCATTTACAATTGCAAATATAAAAATTACTGCAATAAAAAATAAAATAACCATATAATGCTAGCCACCATGAACACTCCCCATGAGGAAAACAAAGAAAAAATAATTAAATTTTACAACTAAAACATGACATTTCACAAAGACAGGTGAAGTAAAACAACTAAGCCATACCAACAAAATAGTCAAGACCGCTTGAAAAAATACAGAGGATGCAGAACAAAAATGTAGTATGGGTTTAAACACAAAAACAAAAATAAAGGGTAGGTTTTTTTTTTTATTTTTTATTTTTTATTTTTTTTTGGGGGTATAAAGAGGAATTTACCATGTGAGCCATTTCTTCGTTCCTTGAAGCAGCTCTCCTACCCATATCTTTCTCCCTCTTTTTCACAGATTGAGCAAGTCTGTGTTTGGTTTTGGGGGGCATCGAGGAGTGGTTCAAGAAGAGGAGCACTGGAGGGCAGTAAATATGACTTTATACGTGGCAGTATGAGATTTGTCCTCGATGCTCTAAGTTGTCACATCAAATTTGTCTCTATGTCTTGGAAAGGTCAAAATGGAGACACGGAAAGGTTGTTTTCAAATTTTTTTCCTCCACGGTATTTATGGTATGGTTGATTTTGTTGAAAAAAAGGGAGAACGTTGGATCAACTTTGGATCAACTACAATAAACTTTTGGGACAGATGTCCAATACATTGCATTCGGGTTCAAACTCTCTCCCGCATTTCACGATTTTACTTTTGAGTTTTTATTTTGGTTTTGTTGGGCCTCTCGTGATGGTAGAACTACGCAACTTGATATGGTGCAAATCATGTTTTTGAGCCCATCACAAAGTGTAGTTTCATAATCCGATCATTTTTTACCCAAAAAAAAAAATTTCCTATACTTTTAGTTTCCATTCAAATATAGCTCACGCAAAAAGGGCACATTAGTGTAGTAGTTTAGAGCAAATGCTTCTTCAGGAAAGGTCTTGAGTTCGAATCGTTGTATTCGTGATGTGTGCAAGTTTAGTATCTTATCGCATCTCTTAATAGGAAAAGTTCTTAAAAAAATTGTAATAAAATAAATAGTTGAGGTCAAAATCAAATCAATAGTAGATTTTCTAATGTATCTAATTTCTCATATAAATGATCTTCAGATGAAGACTCAAAAAATAGATAGTTTACATCATTAAAAAAAATTTGTATCGTGCGTATGCTTGAAAATTTCTATTGTATCAGTAAATTGGATTAGATTGTCCTTAATTACCAAGTAGAGTAGAATGAGTAATAGGATCCATGGCTTTGCTTTGATGCCATGTCAAGTGCCGATATGAGTTTGCTTGATTCTAAAGTCCTTTGACCAAAACAAATTTCTAAAGTCTGCAGGTTGGAGCAGGGCTTTTGTACTTTGGGCCCTTTTGGGGCTTATGTCTTTTGCTTTCTGCTTACTCTATGAGTTATAAAATTTTGATCCTTGTACCCAAGTACAAGCTTTCTCTTCCTTGTTGAAGAGCTTATAAAAAGAAAAACAGCACATTGGACCCAAGCCAACCCATATAAACTTTATGAAACAAAAGGTCGACCAGCACTTTTATCAGCATATCAACTCTGATGGTAGGGGGAGTGTTTTTAGCATTGAAGATCTACCAACTGGTATTGTAGGTTGACCGAAAAAAGAAAAAAGAAAACTGGTATTGTACTTCCCAAACACACTTGGGTTGAATTACTTCTATGATTCAAAAGGAGAAGAAAGAAATACAATCATCGATATTTGGCACACCTTTATGGTAGCATACTCTTTAGCTAATCATCGACATACTTGAGATAATCTTTCTACTTAGGTTTCTTATTTACCTTCATCTATCTCCTTAAAAAGTTTTGTATGATTCGGAACCGTGATGTAATTTTTTTTTTGTTTTGTTTTTGTTTTTGTTTTTAGGCAAAAATATAAAGAGATATTTAGTTATATACTCATTCTTAACATTAGTAATATAGATAAAAATATCTCTAAATATCTCATTCTATAGAAATTACTCATTCTATAAATAAACCTTAAAAAAACCTAAAAAATGACAGCTGACCCTATTGAATTTAATTTTGATTATTAAATTACTTTAATGCCCTATTGAGTGTTTTGAGTTTTTTATTTATGAGATTTTAAGGTTGAGCTTGTTTTAAGAAATTGATTGAAGTTTTTTAATTTATAGGAAGTTCGAAGCCTCTTTGTTGTGTTTCTAAAATCCATTTCATGTAGAGTTTTTATACAATTTGGGGCCATATATTGAGTATAATAATGAATCTCCCAAAACATGATTCAATAGCATGATTCATATAAACAACCCAAGTGGATCTATAGTCTTATTTTCCCCTTATTATATATATACATCCATCTTTTAGCTAGAATGAAAAAAAAAAAAAAAAAATGGCCACTTTATGCGTTTGAAGTGAACTCTTGGATTCTTTGGGTAAAGTTTACATCCTCCATTTTTCTTATTATAAAGTTTCCCAACAACTTGAGGAAGAAAAACATGGTATACTTATTCTAATAATTGACCTTCAAAATTCAAGTGCATGTAGGAAACTTTAAAAACCAAACACAACTTTTTAATTTGTAGAATCCTGAAACTATAAAATCATTGACCTTGTTACTTTTCTTTTTCAATATCTAAACTATAAGATAAGAGAACACAAAAAAAAAAAAAAAATTGTTACTTTCTAGTAAGATGTGATCTAAGTTAGGCCTTTAGTCTTCAAATTTTGATTATAAAATACATAATTAGGACTTATATATTAGATATGTTCTTGTTCATAAATGATTGCCCAAGGAATCTTCCCACAGGTGAGGATTTTCCATCATGTCAAGTCTTGTTAATCACTAGATTAAGGATATTTAAACCAGAAAGTGGTTATTTTTATCATACTAATTTGTTATGTCAATTCTGTTTTCCTTTATATGAAAAATAGTAACGGCTGGTTCATTAGGAAACTAGATATATGTTAATATATTTCATCTTCAAAGGGTTATGAAAAAAAAAAAGTATGTTTCATGTATACAGTTGATCTCATTAACAATTGGATAAAAAAATCCCAAGCTCTGCGTTTTTAATTTAAAAGCAGCCAGCACTTATAATATAATGTCTGACCGAAAGTGTAGTTGATTATTATTTAAGTATTATGATTCAGAGTTTGGTTAGCACTAATCCGTCGTGCACATGTAGATGACTGATAACTGTTGATTGATATTCAAATTTCAAATTGAATCTCACGTTATACAATCATTCACAGTCCCTACAATCGCTTGAATCACTTTTGTTTAGAAATGTTTTTGTACAAACACTTTTTGCTTAAAACCGCTTATACTAATATCATTTTTAATTACTAGATATATATAAATTTATACTAAATTTTGAGTTTTTTTTTTTAAAATAAAAAACTTATGCACTTCGAGTCAATTCTTGTGGAATCACCAATTGGACACATCCAAAATACACTAAATAACGTATGTAACTGAAAAACAAGTTAAACTATTTCGGATAACACTACCAAAAAAATTCTTTTTCTGAAAGTGTTAATAAAACATGTAAAAACACTTCACATGTTTGAAAATAAATGAGATTTGAGATGAAACAAATAAGGACATATAAAAAATGCCACATACATTCTATTAAAGAAAAAATAAAGAAAAAAACCACCACATAATTTAAACACAAAATGTAGAAATTGTAATTACTTTGATGTTTTGTTGTGGTTAGCGTTAATATTATAGTGGTGTAATTTTATTGTGAGTGTCTCGATCCGTTATAAAAGTACTTTATAAATCTCATATCGCTTCTAAATAATACTAATAATAATAATAATAATAGTAATAAAATCGAGTGCTTGCTTTTGAGAAAAAAAGAAAATTAAAACCTTGGACTTGCTTTAAAATGGCCACGAAAGTTAGGTGGAGCCATGATCTAATTGACAATCCCACAACATTATGTATTTCATACGACGAGATTAGGTCGCAAATAAAATAATTGATAATCACAACAACGTGGTGGGGACCTCGGATTTGATGAGACATTAGGCTACTGTTAATTACTTTTCTTGTGTCCGTAGACGCTTTTTGATTGGTCGATGATATTGTCGTTGTTGAGATAATCAATGAAAGTTGTTAATATTTTAATTCCTAAACGACAAATTTGCATGTCATTAGGTTCCATGAGGAGCACTTGCCCTTAAACAATTATTAAAAGATGCTAAGTGCGAAATAATCTTTTTGAAGCAGTCAAAGTTGGACAAGGATTATTTTAACTCTATGTTCAAGAGGCATTGGACAATTATTTTGAATTTCGATTTTTGAATAAAATTTTAATCCAAAGTCTTTTATAATGAATACAATGAAGCAATATTTATGTTACATTACATTCAAACGAAACACAGTATTACGATCCAAAAGTATAAGTTATAAGCAGAGAATCCGAACTTTTTTCAACTGAATTATTTGTTAACACGAAAATCGAACTCGAAATCTTTATCGTTTACCTCAATTGGGTCTACTTGCTATGTTTTTAGAAAATTGAATATACTTTAATACACTTGCTATATTAGAGGCAAGACTCATGTCTTTAGAGGCTCCTTCCAACTAATTTAGCCATCTTATCGTTGAGTGTTGACGGGTCATTTTGATCTTTAAAATTATGCAAAGTTAGCTAATGGGTCGATTTTGGTTGGCCGGTTGAAGTTGAGTAGTGATTTAATTATTTTACTTTGACAATAACATTTCGTTTACACATGAAAGCTTGAATAAAATTATCAATATCCACAATACTATCCCTAGGCGTTGTTACACGTAGATGCGTATGTATGTATGTATTTATGTGTTCGTGCTCATCTACAAATAAATAAATAAATAATAAATAAAGATGACCTTGTCAACTGAGGAGTGAAAGAGGGAAGGGATGATGGAGAAATATGATGTCGACAGGAATGATATTGGGGATTGGTCTAGTCTCGCATCCAAGAACAGATGGGATTGGATGAGCAAAATCCAAGGTAGGTTTTCGTCCTTTTGGGAAACCCCTTCGTTCATATCACGCATATGAATTTATTTATTTATTTTATTATTTACTAGCTTATTATTTATTTATTGAATTATCTATGTTTTATGTGTGCTTTTTCTAGTGTAAATGCAGTACTTTTTTGGTGTTACTTTTGTGACAGCTTTTCGAACATGGTGACCGAAATTCGTGGGGGAGCACTTACCAAAATCTTGGACTCAAAACTTATTTACTCGACACATTATCCAATTTTATAATACATGTTTCACTCTTATTTTTTCAATGGTGGTTCTTTTTTGTAAAAGTTAAATTAAAAAAACTTTCCCACTCTCTTTTCTTGCACTGTTTCTCTATGACCACGATCAAGAAGATTATATGGATATGAATGATTGAAGGATGGAAACTT